GAGGGAATTAAGAGACAAACCATCATGATAGATAATGAAGACATTTTTTCATCAGGTTACACATTCAGGTTAAACATTGAAACTGAAATATCAAAAAGTCTTAAGCCTATAGAGTGTGTTCCATGATGTTTTCTATTTTGCACCTTCTCTTTGCAACTGACCAAATATTTTTCTCTGTGAAGTATCTTTCAAGTCAACACAACTGAACATTTAGGTGGTGCTTGTGGTTGTCAGAATGTGCAAACTGTCCTTTTACAGGCTTTTACAGTAGCATTGCCTCAAATACGATTAAATAAAACTTTTGACACAAATATTGAATGAGTCTGTTGCATGTCTGAAACTAATATATGATATTTAATGGTATATCCTTACATCTTCATTAACTATTTAGTTTTCTGTGAATTGACCATACATGGTTTTTGTTTGTTTGTTTGTTTTCTTATCAGGTTTTCTTTTCTTGTTGACTATAATTTCAGGTAAGTAGTTACTAGTTTGACATTTATTTTATTAGTAATAAAAACTACAGTAATATATAAACACATTTGCCCAAAATCATATATATACTGCATATATATATTACTCTGTGTGTATATACATGTATGTGCATTCATGTATATACATGTGTTTATACATATACACACACAGTAATATACTTTTAAAAATATGTGCCCAAAACACATTCGGGGAACTGGCAAAGAAAAGTGGTTCCTACTCCACTTTCTAGGATCAGGTAGGGTAACGAGAGCGCACAGTACCTATTTCTGGGCGTTTTGGTTTGGTTTGGTTTGGTTTTCTTCGCCACTCTACTGGAACTCAGCAGGAATGGCATGAACTTCGCAGGGCTTTCCCCTCCTTCCCACCTGCCGGCTCCCTTTCCCTCCATGACCTAAGCGCTTCTGCCCTCCCCTCAGTGTTGCGCAGTGCAGACATGCCCAGCAGCTCTTCCTACCCTACCTGACCTCTGGCCCTTGCGCATCTTGTCCTCCCCAGCACCTGGCACCTACCGCTTCAACATCCGTAAGGATTCGGGCTAGCAGCGTCAACATCTTTAGCCCCGCGGAGGTACTTGAGAGCTCCGTGGTCCCTCAGGCAATGACCTCCGCTGCCTGTAGGCTGGAGTTTGGAGCCTCCTGAGCGAACCCCAGGCACCTGGGGGGAAACGGGGACAGGGCCAAGGGCAGCTGGGAGACGGAGGCATGGAGGACAGTGCCGAGGAGGGCTGTGCGGGACTGGACGCTAAGGGGAGCGCTGTTGCTGGTCTAGAGCGGTTGGGAGTAGCGTAGAGGCAGGTTAGGAGGGACCAACGGTGGCTGGGGAACCGGGCCTAGCGTATCCTGGGGCATTGGAGGGCATGGACTGGGCGGAGGGCGGCTAGGAGAGTTTCATGGGCAGGTCAGGGGTAGCTGCAGAGGTGGGGCTCAGGGCCTGGGCCAGGGTACCTGGGGAGCTGGTGGGTGGAGCCGAAGGTGGTGGGAAGAGCGGGAGGGTGGGACACGGCTCCCGGTGGGGTGGTCGGGGAAGGGGTGGAGGATGGAGAAAGGGCGGAACACAGGTGCAGGGTCTCTCTCCAAAGTACATTTCCCCCTTTAGTTCATGAATACGTGTCTCAAGTTCTTTAGATTCTGTATTTCCCCTACTATTCTTACCCTCCCCCCTATCTATTTTCTATCTACTGCCTATGCTACTTATTTTCTGTACCTTCTCCCCCCTTTTCCTTCTCCCACTCCCCTGTTGCTAACCCTGCATGAGATCTTTATTTCTATGGTTCACTCCTGATCTAGCTGTCCTCTTAATTTGCTTTTGTTTTAGGTGTGGTTGTTAATAACTGAGTTTGCTGTCCTTTCAACTGTTCATCTTTTTTATCTTCTTTTTCTTAGGTAAGTCCCTTTAACATTTCATATAATAAGGGCTTGGGTGATGAGGGAATGGGGGGGATAGAACAAATGTAATGGTATAATCAATTTAAAAAATTAATACTTGTAAGAAAAAAATAAAAAAACCAAAGTGCTGACAGGCTTGCTGGGCAAGGACCAGACGGCAGGAAGAGCTAGTGGGGCCACAAGTGGGGCCCTGCTCCTAGGCTAGCAAGTATCTCCGGCTGCTGTGCACACGCGGTTCTTGAGGTCAGAGTGGTGGCCCTGCCCAGGAGTAGATAGGGTTGAGTAGAGGGCTGTTATGTGTGACAATTTGAGGCTCATAATTTATGTCGACATAACTCCTTCTGGATGGAACCCTTTGTTTTCAATCTTTTTTTGCAGGTTTATTCCCAGCCCTGGGGACAATTGTGGGGACAGTTATTGGGGCTGCATGACAGGATTATCTAGTGATTTGCAGCAGGAAGAGGAGTAAAGTGAGAAGCGTGTACCGGTGGGTATGAAAGAAGAGAGGTTGTGTAGATCCCATTTTGAGCCTTTTACAGTATTGTTTTTTCTAATTATTTGAAAGATCACTCTGACAACAGTATGAAGGATAGATTTTTTTAGAAAACATAGCAATATTAAATCTGCCATAGAAAGGTTTTCTCGAAAGTGTTTGCAATAACCCCAGGAGAGAACAGGGTCAGGAAAGTTGGGAAGTGAAATCAATGGAGTTTAGTGACAGTGGATGGATGAGGTGAGTGGATGGATTTAGGGTGACTCAGGTTTCCGATTTACAAGAACAAGTAAGTAGCCAACAGTGACATAATGTAGGGAATACAAAAAGCCGAACAGGTTTGGGGAAGGAAACATGAGTTCAGTTTGGGACTTGTAAATATGACATTATAGTAAGATAATTAAGTTGAGGTGTCTGAACAGTTATTTTATATAAAGGCGCAGAAAAGATATGCCCAGGCATGTTTAACATATAAATTCATAGGCATATTATAAATAAATCAAAATATTGGAAAGGGTTGTTGATTGAAAAAACTTACACATTCTACTCGAGATGGCATATAGGACTTGCACAGTTAGAACAGTCAGTGCTGGCTTCAGATCTACAAAGGATGGGCCTGCTTTCTTGTTAGGGGCTTATGCAGCTGGTGATTCTAAGTTGAAGACAATGCTCATTTACTATTCTGAAAATCCTAGGGCTGTATCTACTCTACTTGTTCTTTAGAAATAGAGTCACAAAGCCTGGATGATATTACTTCTGTTGTAACATGGTTTACTGAATACTTTAAGCCCTCTGTTCAGAATAAAAGATTTCTTTCAAAATATTACTGCTCACTGAAAATGCACATGGTCACCCAAGAGCTCTGATGGAGATGTACAAGGAGATCAGTTTTGTTTTTCATCCTTGTTAACACAACATCCATTCTGCAGCCCATAGATCAAGGAGTAATTTTGACTTTTAAGTCTTATTATTTAAGAAATACATTTTATAAGGCTACATAACTGCTGTATACAGTGATTCCTCTGATATATTTGGGCAAAGTAAATTGAAAACCTTCTGGAAAGTATCCACCATTCTAGATGCCATTAAGAACATTCATGTTTCATGGAAAGAGGTAAAAGTATATACATTAATAGAGTTTGGAAAAAGTTGATTTCAATCCTCATGGATGACTCTGAGGGGTTCAAGACTTTAGTGGAGGAAGTAACTGCAGATGTGGTGGAAACAGCAAGAGAATCAGAATTAGAAGTGGGACCTAAAGATGTGACTGAATTGCTGCAGTCTCATGATAAAACTTTGAAGGATGAGGAGTTGCTTCTGAAGAATAAGCAACAAAAGTCATTCCTCGAGATGAAATATATCTCTGGTGAAGAGCTGTGCACATCACTGAAATGGCAACAAAAGATTTAGAATATTCCGTAAACTTAATTGATAAAGCAAGGTTTGAGAAGACTGACTCTAATACTGAAAGAATTTCTACAGTGGGTAAAATGCTGTCCAACAGCAGCACATGCTACAGAGAAATAGCTCCTGAAAAGAAGAGTCAATCAAAGCTGCAAACTTCAGTGTTGCCATATTTTAACAAATTGCCACAGTCATCCCAGTCTTTAGCAACACCACCCTGATCCCTCAGCAGCCCTCAACATGGAGACAAAGACTCCCCACCAGCAAAAAGATTATTACTCTCTGAAGTCTAACATTATGGTCAACATTTTTTAGTAATAAAGAATTTTTAAATTAAGGTATTGTATTGTTTTTTATAATATTTTTTTTCTTTTGTGAACTGATTTTTCATGTCATTAGTCCCTCCTCATATTAAAAAGATTAACTCTTTCTACTGTCTTGAATATAATCTTTGCCAGTTTGTCTTATGGCTCTGCTTTTGATTATTTTCATATAGAAGTGTTCTTTTTTTCTTTTAATCATTCACTGGATACTTTCCTGTATGATTTCTGCTTTAGGGTTTTACTTAACATAATATTATGTAAATATTTACCTATATTTTATAACAAAATATATAGTCCAGATCCAAGGGCATGTAAGAAGTTAACACACTAATTCATTCAATCATTTATTTATTGATGTAACAAATATCTATTAAGCCCGTATACATTAGGCACTGTTATAAATGTTAGCAATAAAACAGCAAGCAAGATCACCAGGGTTCCCACTATCATGGAGTTATACTCCAAAAGGAACACAATCATGCAGCATGTAAAGAATGGGACCAAAGTAGGTTTATAATTGTGAGTACATAAAACAGAGTTTATTTTTATATTATTAGTTGTTAATTATTATATTATTCTCCATACAAACAGCTGTGAACCAACTTTGGCTTCACCCTTTAATTTAATATGAGATTTCAAATTAATAGGAAAAGAATGGATTATTAAACATATAATGCTGTTACTAGTTAACCATTAAGAAGAAAATAAATTAGATTTTTATTTCATACCTTACATAAAGTATATTACAAATAGATATAAAATCTATATTTTTAAAATAAAATCATAAAAACACTAGAAAAATAAGTAAATATTATATAAAGAAATATATGTTCTCAAATGTGAAAGCTTCAGAATAAGATCTCAAGGCAATTTTGGAAATCATATCTTATTTTTTAAAAATGGAGTATAACAAGGTGAGTTTTGAACAATAAGCTTTATTAGTGTATTTTCAAAGGTACATAAAATCCTGAGTTACCTTACTTACTCACCATTGGTTATTATTCACTCTTCAAAGTTTACATGTATTTTGCTGCAAACTCTGCGATTACATTTTTATACAAATCAGGAACATAAATAAATTGAAATACTGTTGTTACCCCTGGAATAGCCAATTAATGTACTTAGATCATCTCATTTTTTAATTCTACATTAAGAGTTTTAGAACATAGTTTTTCAACGGAGCAATTTCTCAAAACTGCAAAGATAGGCAGTATAAGATCTGATTCCTTAAATCTTACTGAAGTCTTTGAAAACTGTTGATTTTGGCCTTTAATCTATTTTCATGAATAAATTTGTAATTATCTGACCAGTTATATTTGAGAAGAATCATAAGAGTAATGACTATCTCTAATCTCAACATTTCAGCTAGTGTAAAATTTCACAGGCTCCCTTCACATACAAGCAGTCCACAATTATCTCAATAAGAAAAATTTACTATGATTTAATAAAGAGGCGGTCAATCCAAATGTAAATATATCTTTGTTTAAATGGTTACATACTATAAAACATGTTGTGTAAAATAATTCCTCTAGGCTCTATAAAGAAAAGCATACAGCTGATTAACATTAAATTCATAAGTCTAGACCAGAACTTTTATAATTGGTAAATAGAACAACAGAAAAAATAAAAGACAAAAGTGCTGTGATCTTTGCAAAACAAAAATTATCCAGCATCTTCAACTGTGGACAAATAAATATTTTCCTTCTTGTATTTTAAATTACTACCAAAATAGTATATCTTTCTACAAACAACAAAAACAAGCATACAATATCTAAAAATGTTTTTTAACTGACATGAATGTCAATGTCAAGTCTCCAAAGGTACAGTCAAATTTTTTTCCCAAGTAAGGTCACTATAATTTTACGTTAAAGTTATAATAAGCAGTTCAAGCAAAATACATATTGCTTGCATTTTAAAGCAGGTGATTTTGATAGTTTGATTAAAATGTAAGTATAAATGTAAAGCTATTGTAGAAACATTTATAAACATTTCTTGGGCATACTCTCAGATCAGCAAGTAATGGAATAATTGATTTAAAAATGAAAAGTGATATTAGATCTAATGCTTGATGACAAGTCCAAAAATATCTTTAAGTCATGTAAACATGAGGAAATGGACTTTATTACTTGGAGCTTGAAAACCTAGCAGCAAAACAAACTATTATTTGCATATGATGCAGTGCAATGACCTTTTATTCATAAAAGACTCCCAAAGTCTTAAAACTTCATACATGAACCAGAATGAAATTCATTAGGATAAATGATTTAAAGATGTCCAGAGCAAGTTATCAACAAATGCTAGATACTCTCACCTGCATTGCTTACTTGTAAGCAAGCTTATGCAAAACTGTGTTCTGGATAACTCACTCTTATGGCTCCCCAATAACAAGCTCGGATGAGGCAGATCAAGCCTAAGAGATAAGCAATTGCCCATGAAACATAGGTTGCATGAAATCGCCTTGCAAAATCTTGGGTGGCAACCTGAAATAAAAAGCAATATAAAAATAAAAAGTTGGAAAAAATTTTAAACTACTTGCTTAGAGAATTTATGTTAATTTACATGTGATTTTTATGAACTATATCTCTGAGGCTACAAAATCCCCATAAAATATGAATTGGTGTACTTTTGACTATCACTGACAGGGTAAAATTTAATAAGATACCACTAGTTATAGGAACCATGAATTTTTATGAAGTAAGCAAAGAAGCCCACTAAAACATATTCATATCTCTAAAAGGAACTTAATGTATATAATTCCACCTGGCTAATGATATGCAGACAGGTGCAACAAAGGTGCATGGAAAGTAAATGGCAGCAAAACAGATCAATCTCTTCCTCTTCTGGGATCATATCCAAGTCAACAGCTTAGTTTCAGTCTCCTTTGAAAATAAGTGAACATTGATAATAACCTGTGCTTCACTTGAAGAAACAGAAGAACCAGCATAGCTGATTGAGTATCACTTTGGCTTTAGCTGGAGCCAAATTGGTTCTGGCATTAAGTGAAAACAAATGGGCTTTTGTTAAACAAATGGTAAAGTCTCCAATGTCAAGGACCTTCAAAGGGGTCCCAAGACACCATTTCTTCTGGACTGGCAAGCTTCACTAAAAACAGGTCTATGGACTGAACTTCCAATTGCCCATAGTCCTTCAGAAGTTTCTGGGCCTGATATGCCAGGGAGGCAGGCTCTTCAGGTCTCACCATTTGCTTGAGATAAAGTTGAGAGGGAATAATTCTAATAGAGAGTAGAGTACTCACAGTTAATCCAACTCCAATGAAAATACAGATCATTCCAATGGTAATATATGCACAGCAGCGTCTTTGTGGAAGAGCAGTACCCACTGAGGAACTGTAAATTAATGAGAGCAATACAGAATATTATTTACATAATCACTCTCCATTTCATCTGTGAGTACTCATCTATGGCTTTAGTAACATACACACTTCCATTTATTTCTTCAGCTTGGGAGACAAGAACATGCATAAAATGTCATTTTAAGGACTAACATGAATCATAATCATAAATATTGAATTTTTGATATATTATTGTGGCTTTAAACAAAGTTCAAGCCTTGGTCATTGACAATATCCACAAAAAAAACAGTGTGGTCAATAATGATCTTCCAAGACAAAAATATATTTTCAAAAATTGTATTCCAGAGTAGAAAATTAGTGTCATCTTACAAATACCATTTAATTTTTAAAGCCATTTTGATTTTATGTCAACAATAGAGTTAAAATACTAAATCATGTACCTTTGCATCTGCCTCCAGCAGTCTAATCTACCATAGATTGGAAACCAATAACATTTATTAGAATTATATATTGAATAAGTCAAAGGTTCTTTTAAATTATGGTTTTTTTAATTTTTGCTTTTCACTGAAGAAATAAATTTGGATAGGAAGAATTAACATTGTTAAAATGTCTATACTACCCAAAGCAGTCTATAGATTCAACACAACTCCTATCAAAATACCAAAAGCATATTTTATAGAACTAGAATAAATAATCCAAAAATTTATATGGAACCACAAAACATTCTAAATGAATATTGGAGCAGCTTTTCTGTGGGCCAAAAGAAATTAATTTAGTACATTCATTTCAGTTTGTGAATTCTGCTTAGAAAACTCATGCCAATTTTCATCACAATTTAAATAGTCACTAGCTCTGGGAAATCTTCCCAGAAAGGAACCTACTATCCTTCTACAACTCAAGTGCTATTTCATCACAAGAATAAGGCAATGACCAAAAAGCACCTATTGCATAGACAATAAAATCTTTTATACTTTGAATAGATATGTGGTACCAGTATGTAATATATAGTATTGTTCTGCATGTGTTAAGACTTTATGGATATGTGTTAGACTGTATGTTTCTGTGACTTGCCTTTTTATTTTCTTGATACTCTACATGAGACTCTTCCATACTTATATATGGAGGCCTAGTTCATCCATTTTCATGACTATCTTCCTTTATATGAAAATACCAGTTTACTCTCCCTGTTGATAAATAGCCAGGATTATTTTAAATTAATTTTTTGCTATTACAACAAGGCTGCTTTAAACTCTTTTAGGTTTCCTCATGTACATACACAGGAATTTCTCAAACATACACCTAGGAATAGAATTGCTGAGGTGCATTGTAGACATGTCTTCCACTTTAATAAATGTCAAAGTTGTATTTCTACCAAAACTGTATGGAGCTCCCATTGCTCCCCCTCACCTTCTTCAACATTTCCATTCTTTCTTTTTTTTTTATGTTTGCCAATTTCATGAGTTGGAACGATATTCTATTAGAGTTTTAATCTGTATATCTCTGATTTCTAGCATGCTGAACATCTTTTCAAATGCTAGTTGGCTATTTTCTAGTAATTGCTTCTTTTTCTAGTAATTGCTTGTTCATATTAATATTGTCCCTTTGTATCAGGCTATCTTAGCTTACTGATTCACATATCAACATAAGAAACATCCAAACCTGTAAGAATTTTTATGAGTTCATTTGAGTCAAGCTGATGACAATTACCAGAAAGCACAAAACAAAACAAAACAAAACAAAACAAAAACTTAACCCTACATCTAAAAGAACTAGAGGAACAACAACAAACAAAGCCCAGGGTGAACAGAAGGAAGGAAATAATCAAGATCAGAGTGGAATTCAAAGGTAGGCCTTTGCTTTATCTATCATTTTACTTTTTATCCAATCCCAAGGTTTCCTCACTTTGCTCTTTCCCTGCCTCTCTAATCTATCACCAGTGGATTTTATGTAACCTTCTTATGCCTCCTCTTTTAATTGTAATATATAAAATAAAGTGCAAAATGGCCATTTTCTGGAGTATTTTCTGTCCTTTGAGATTTTGCTTCCCAGCAACTGTCATCAGTTTGGTTCAAATAAACTCATAAAAATTCTGATAGGTTTGGATGTTTGTTTCTTTTGTTGACAAATGATAACAAAACCCAGAATACAATAGTTTAGGAAAAGTATATTTCTCTTCCATATCGGAATTTGAAGGTAAATTTATAGCCTCGGTCTTGTAGCTGCCTCACTTCATGATGCCATTGACTCAGTACAAGTACAAGTCTCTTGCTGCCACTGCCTCTTCCTGCCAATTGTGGAGTTACATAGGTGTTTTGCAGGTTTACAGGAATGAGAAAGGGATTAGCCAGGTCATTCCAGGCCTAGCAGCATGAGATTAAGGGACAGAATCAAGGAAGTATATTGTATATTTATGTAAGTTGAAGACTGTTTAGGCAGGGACATACAGAGTTGTATAGAGGTGGAAGAAAACATTAACAGAGATACCACTAGAGAAGTTAGGCAAATACCTATACCTAGAAGACTGTATATACCTTACTAAAGAGTTTGTAGTTTGTTTTTGGATTTTAGGCAGTGGGTGTATAATAAGTCCATATGGTACACTGATGTCAGTAAGTAGAAAATGTTCTTCCTCAGGATACTTTACATGCCACTAATAGCCAAACCTAAGAACAATAGAAACAGCACCTCTGTGGATTGTTCAGTGTTTAATCTACACAACTCTACACCATAGCTATGAATCTGGAAGCTACTAAAAAATCTGAAGTCAGAGCATTTAAAATTCATATTTGCATTTGAGGACCATCACTCCAGTAAATGGATAGAAAACTGTAAGCCTAGAGGCTAGGAGATACATGAGAAAGCTGGTGTGGTTGTCTTGTAGAGATCTTGAATGCATGAATAGTGAGACTAAGAGAACAGAATTAAAATGCCAAACAGAATTGATGGGATTTGTTTCCATTTAGATGGGGAATAAATGCACTTAGATTTCTAGCTTGGGCAGATGGGATAACATTCATTAATATAATAAATTCATCAATACATTAATATAATCAATTACAGAATGAGGTTAAAAAAGCTGGATATGATGAGTTTGAGAGGACTATGGACAACAGGGCTGAAACAATAATAGGTAAAATAGTGAATATAGATTGTATAGTTATATTTGAAGCTCTGAAGAATGAGCAGGGGTGATTTAAAGGCATATTGGTTGGGTTTACTGACATGCAAATAACAGGGGAACCCATGAAAAAGCCTAGATGTAATGTGGTCAAGTCGCAACCTTGGAGAATAAAAATATTTGACAACTTGGCAGAGAAAGTGACATCAACAAAGGTGATAGCAAAACAATGATCCAAGATGTAAGAGAAAAATGGGAGAAAATGGTATCTGGAAACTAAGAAAATAAATGTTAAAAAAAACACAGGATAATCAACAGAACCAAACACTACAGAAAAAACAAGCAAAATGAAGACTAAGCAGATCTATTAGAACTTGCAATTGGGATGTGAATTTTGTGAGAACAAATTCAGTGTCCTGGTGGCTAATTGTACTTTCCTCCAGAGAAAATGGGATGCCATGATCACATGAAAGGAAGAGGCCTGCTTTGTTCTGAGAAGAAAAAATGAAGTGAGCAAATACAGATAAGTTTCTAAGCAGGACATGAGAGGAGAGGGAGTTCACAGAGAGTCTCAGTCATCTCAGAGAGAAACGAGGCAACTCCTCTGCTGAGAAAAAGACTAGTGGGTACAGAGATGGGCATTTCAGAGGAACAGTAACTATCTGGAGATAACTTATTTGGGAGCTATGGGTAAGAGTTAATCAAGAACATTTAAAAAGGGAATACCAAGCAAGGGTTTAGCTAAGTGTAAAGCTATATGCTTGTAAAGAGCTAATTAATATAGAATTTCTTCAGCTCTCAGTTATCTTGGGATGAAGGAAGAAAGAAGTCATGGCCATGTTGATCCAAGATTGGTGGTTTGAAAAGTAAATGGATAGATGTGAATTTCAAAGGATGAATACAGTCAATCTAGCAGGGACTTTGCAGGGATTGTTTACTCTCTTTTTTATACCCACAAGATGAAATCCCTTGAAGGCAAGGTTATATTTTTTATTTTGAGCACAGTACCTAGCACAGGACTATTTGTTGAATTCATGAATAATATAAAAGAAAGCACTAAATAGCAAAATAAAAGAGTTAGTCTGCAATTGTTTAAAATAGTAGGAGGGGATCCACAAAGAAATATATTAGTGACATGGAAAAATGTTATTTAATTATCATTATCATCACCATCTCTACTAGTCTTAGGCCTATTAGTATATTTGCATGGAAATGTAAGCTGGCTTGTATTTCAGAATTCTAGGACTTCATCTTCTAGCCAGCAGTGTCCACAAAGTGCTCAATTGAAAATGAACCTCACCATCAGCTACAACTGAGGTATGATTGTATGAGTAAGAAACAATGATATGAAAAAGGACTTCATGGTCTCAGTACCCCTGAGGGAAGCCTTCCCTATATGTCTTATGATAATTTCACAATAATGATTTAGTAACTCTTATAACTTAAAAATAATTTCAGGATATTGTTATTTGTGTTTAAAGAAATAAAATTCTGTAACAGAATCTTACTTCAACAGATGATTCATCATTTTGTTATGAAGAAAAACATTCAAAGAAAAAAGAAATCCAGGTACCAGCTCTGAGTGTTCCTTTGATAACAGCATCTCTGCTCAAATAAATGCCTTGAGGCCTCCATGTTTAGCGTGTGATTCCAATTCTATCAATATTCCTCTAGAATACTATTTAAGCTTATTTAGTCCATGTGAATTTCTATGTAAGTTGTTTCTTAAGTAATTGATAAAAGTTTTTCTTCACATTGACTGTCTCGTGATGTTTTAACCACTCACAGAATATCTAGACATTCAATATTTCTTTATCATTTGCAAAATATTGCCACTGTTATAAAATAATTAACCAAGCAAAATCACTTCAGCTAAATCTTTAAGTACTCTAACAGTTCCTCATCTGTAAAATGAGGATAATAACTCTTGCATTCCTAGATTGTGGGGCAGATTACAGGTAGTATGTCTATGTCTAAAAGCAACTATCACTGTGCTTAGCACAGAGCCTGCTAATCGCAATGTCTTTGTTTTTTTTATTTTCTACAGAATTTTAAAATTCAATTTAGTGTTCTCAGTGAGTATAGCTATAATTTAATTTTCTTTTTGTAAAATACAAATAATACAGAGAAAAATGGATCATTCACATACTTATGTGGGGGGGAGTGTCCCTCGAGTATATATATTTTCTGCATACTTATTTGTAGTTATTCACTTTGCTTTTCCATATGCACACTTCTAATTGATTCAACAAAGTGAAGAATTCAGATTTATTTATTAATTTCACAAATAAATAAAAAAGGAAATATCTAGTCCTGGCTGGTGTAGCTCAGTGCATTGAGCATGGGCCTCTGAACCAAACAACCGTGGTTCTATTCCCAGTCAGGTCACATGCCTGGGTTGCAGGCCAGTTCACAGTGGGGGACACACAAGAGGCAACCATACATTGATATTTCTCTCCCTCTCTCCTTCCCTTCCCGTCTAAAGAAAAAGAAATAAAATCTTTTTTAAAAAAGGAAATATCTATTCCTTTGAAGCTAGAAATAGGCTGCGAAGAGTTATTCTCTCAGAGCTATATTTAGCTGGAATCGGTTTTAGTAGAGATAAAGGGAGATATTTAGTTACATATTCTCTATTTCTTAGGCAGTTTTTAATTATTTTTTCCTAGAAATCATTCTTAGGATTTCTCTGCTATCAAAATAGATAAGGTATTTATATCATTATAGGAGACTGTGGGAAATGTAGACCAGCTCCCACCCAGAAAGGCCAGTGGAAATCGAGCTCTGGCACACAGGACCCATGACCCTGGATAGGTTCTCTCATGGGGAATCAGCCCTGCATTGTACCCAGGACACTTTGAGACTTGCTTTTTGCTAAAACTCTCTCACCCTGAATTGAGGCAGAAAATGTTCACTGCATATCTTTAAAGTAACTTCCTAAAATCTATGTTAAACTTCCCAAGAATGAGTGTAACCAGTTCAACCACTTTTTTCTTTGCATTACAAATATCCTTCTGTGATATAATTAGCAACATCCTAACCACCAAAGTCGAACTTATGCATAGTAAATGAGGACTATCCTCAATGTAATGTGCCCAAAAAAGCAATAAAAGCCTGTCCAGGCAAGGGACGGGGTTGGCCCTCTCTTTCACTGAGAGAGCACCATGTCATCCCTTTTTCTCCACAGATTTCTGTAATCCATGTGAATTTGTCTCATCTCATCCATAACACTGTGGATACTGTGGGCCAGTGTCCACATCATATCATACTAAGGATCACACAAAATAAACTAAGAACTAATATTTTCAATATTCAAAACTGAATTGTCAAAATGTTCCAGTTTAATTTCCTTAAGTTATAGTTCACACACACATATAAGTAGAGAATAATAATTTTTCAATTCAAATTTTATTATCTAAATAGATGTTGTGCAGACAGACTATTGTTAATCCAGCAGGCCTGAGACTGCAGTCCTTAGAAAGATCTGCTTGCTAGGTTGGCCCTTGGCTGGCATCTGGAATCTTAGATTTCTAGAAAGTTCCCACTATTCCCTAACTAAAAAGAGTAGCTTAAAAATGCCTAAATAGAGAGAACAATATGGTTAATGCTAAACACCTGCTTTCCTTTTGGGAGTCTGGAAATGAGGTTCATGCCATGCAGTAGGTGCCTAGGGGACAAGCTCCAATAAAAACCATGGACACTGAGTCTCTCATGAACTTTTCCCATAGACAACATTTCATGAGAATTGCAACACTCTTTCGCTAGGAATTAAGGGGGCCCTGTGTGACTCACTGGGAGGGAACTAAGAAATTTGCTTCTCTTTCCTCCAGACCTTGCCCCATGTGCCTTTTTCTGTTGCTTATTTGTTTTATATATTTTCACACTAATAAACCATAGTTGTGAATGTAACAGGGTGCAGCCAAGAGGCGAGCCCCCCAAAAAGAGATTTGGAATGGGGTCCAGAACTCAAGGTGTCCAGGAAATATTATAAAGACATATACGATGTCCTCACCCCTTACCCACCTCCCACAGGTGTCAGTTGGGGGAAGAGACAAATGGAGAGGAGCCAGTGAGAGCAGTTTTGCATAGCAACAGTTTCACAGATAACCTCTAGAATGGTCATTTAACATATGTATAACTTTAACTGGTTTCATGGATATGTTAAGTAGCTGTGGCCATGCTCTGAGCCTAGGGGATGGAAGCAACTTCCACCCAAGACATAACTAGGAGGCAACTCCCCCTGAGTATAGCGCCTATGTGAGAGCTTGGAGTTGATTGGCTCCACGCCATGGGGCCCTGCCTGTACAGACTCACTATGGTAGCCCAGTAAAGCTGGGAGAATATGGGAGTCCTGGCAGGTGTAGCAGATTGTGGGAGGAGTCAAAAATGGGGCTGCAGAGGAAGGTTGGCGTGGAGATTTAAATGTAGATGTGGCAGCCATTGAAGAGAGAACCACACACTTTCAGCCAGAGCGGGGACCCCTGCAGCCTATGGAGGGGAGAACCATGCACTTTTGGCCAGAATGGGGACTCCAGCAGCCATGTGAGAGAGAATCACCATGTAGCTTTAGCAGGGAGTACCACATGGCTTTGCCAGAGTGGGGACCCCTGCAGCCAGGTGAAAAAGAGAGCCATGCACTTTTGGCAGAGTGCAGACCCTTTCAGCTTTGGTAGAAGAGAACCATGTGGCTTTGGGGTGCTCCCTTTGGCCATGTGGCCTGGGAAGCAGGAGAGACTTTGCCTGGAAAATGGGTACAAAGAACTCTTGCCAGTAGACCATGAGAAGGTGCCACATGGATTTGGAGTAATTAGAGATCCTGCCTGGATGGCGACACAGCTGATGGTGCCAGAGGCTTGAAACACAGACATATACTTCTTTTTCAGAGTTATGGTACCTCAAATTAGGGCAGGGGTAAAAGGAAGCACTGTGGGTGTCTTTGGGGCATCCTAAAAGACTTTAATATATTAATGGGGACACTGGGTTGCTACTTTAAGTCTGTATAGCTTTAAATAAACCTTTCCTTTCCTTTTCACAAATATCTGGAATTAAGAGATGTTTTTCCTCTGCCAGCAGACAGATGAGCCCAGTAGGTAGTCTGGACAGTATTAGTATACTATCCTTGGGGGGGGGCTGTTGTTCTGTAACAGTTTTTGGCATCCCTGGGTGGGCCAAATATTGCCCCCCTTGGACCTCTGATCTGTAATACGAGTATAAACATTTAGTACTAATTTCTAATAGTTCCCCTAGAAATTCATGGAATCTTGGGGTGACTTGGGGAACTCCAACATAAAATGTCTTTAATCAAAATATCTTCTATTTTTCCCATTGTTACATTGTTTTTTATTTTCCTTAAGAACACCATTTAGAAATAAAAAGAAATAGATTCAATAGTTAAGATAGATAAATAATTATGTAAGCTTTGCTATCAGTTAATAATCTTCTTAGGAGAGGAGAAGAGCTAACAACTACCTTTTCTTTTAAATGGTAGCCTATTTTTTAAATATAAATTATTGATTATTTTCAATAGATTATAACCTCTCAGGACATTTGAAAATGTTACTGATAAGTAACATTTACCAGGTTACTGATAATTTTAGTACTTTCTTAGAAATTGATTTCCTTTCAGAGAGAGAGTGATAATCAAGCCTAATCATTTAAATTTCACAATGAAATATATATTGAGTTTTAATTTTTTTTGTTTTGAAAAGCATGAATATATCAAGCATCCATTCATTTCATGGCTCGCCTTAAATCAAAATCTACTTAAATGAGAATTCTGGAATCTTTAAACTGTTCTCCAGTATTTCCTAGTAGCATTTCCAATGGTAGAAAACTTACATATTTTTGCAGTGTGGGCATTTTGCCAGAGTGTTGAACCTCAGTTCCATCCACTGTAAAATAAATAAAGAAAGGGATTGAAAAGAAAAGCAACAGAAAACTATCCAATCTGATAGGATGTTTCTTTTAGTTCAAATGTCATTGTGGATCACAACAAAGCAATCATCTTCTCATGGTTGTATGATCTTTTCCTTCTGGCACTTCTCCTTCTGCCTTAAAATAAATTTTTGAATTCCCATCTGAAACAGTTCCCATGATTTTCCAAGGTTCTGACGCAATCTGGGTTTGCTTTACAAAGAAAACTGAATGTACTGCTATATTTAGGGTCATTTCTTTCAGATTTATGTCTTAGTTTACTCCTAGAGTATAAAAACTTATTTCATGTACCTTCAAAGTTTTTTTCCTTTAAATCTTGAGAACTAGCCTTTTAAATACATAAATATTTAGATTTATTACTAAAATGCAGTTTTTATTCTATTAATGTAGGAAATCCACAAAATAAATAAACATATTGGATACATGTAGAACTCAGGTTAGAAAGCTACTTCCTGTTCTGTCCTTGCTTAGTCTATGTAACAAAACACACTCCTGTGATGCAATCTTCTCCTTCAATTTCCTTCCCTGTACATATAGGTAGGTACTAGAACAGGGTACCTTCCTCACAGGAGTGTTATGCAGATACTTGAAAAGGATTACTGGTAGTAAGCTCACTGGTTAAAAGAATGTACAGTATAAATTTAAAGTAAATTTTTACCACAAAAAATATTTTAAAATACCTTTCTCACCTTCTATCTTGTTTGCTTTTGTATATACTTTTTTGTAAAGTTTGTATTTCCTTTACAGTTTTAGGAGAATTCCTTTAAGCACATTAGCAGTTTTATCATCAAACAATTTTCTTTTATTAAAATTAATTTTGTTTAGGATTCACATTACTCATTTCTCTTTTTATATCTTTTTAATTCTAGGTAATTCAACTCTCTACTGTTCGGATGTCTTAAGAAGCTTCCTTATATTCATGCAGGACTAGCTGAAGGCTATATATTCCCTGAATAGCAGGACTTGCTGAAGGCTATATATTCCCTTTATTCTTCTGCAAAATATTTCTAAGCAATGTCCCTCAAAATAATATGGTTAGCTCTGGCTGGTGAAGCTCAGTGGATTGAGTGCGGGCCTGTGAACCACACAATCGTGGTTCAATTCCCAGTCGGGGCACGTGCCTGGGTTGCAGGCCAGTTCCTAGCAGGGGACTCACAAGAGGCAACCATACATTGATATTCCTCTCCTTCTCTTCTTCCATTTCCCCCCTAAAGATAGATAAATCTTTTAAAAATCTTAAATAATAATAATAATAATAATAATAATATGGTTAGATGATCCCCACAAAATGGTTTGGAGCTTAAAAATGTTTTTACATACCATATTAAAACCCCTTCTAGGATATTAGCAATGATGCATGCTAAAAGTATGCGTCTAAAGAATGCACCCATAAAATTTTTTGTTTATGTAATTTTTTATTCACATAAATCCCAGTGACCACAGAACTCTTTACTCACATAACATCTATTATTGTTCTATAAAATGAGTATTCTATTGAATATCCTCTGGAAAACACAAATTTAGCTTTTCTAAACATTATCCATGGTTCTAGCCAGGCTGTGAAATAAATAGTATGAATAGTGTGAATTCCTAGTAAATTTAACTTTAGTTGTATAACACTGATGTAATAAAAAATGTTGTTGAGGATTTGATCTATTGCATTGCTCTTTTAGTTTAATCCATGAGAATAATTCTCTTTTGAGTTGTAGTTTTCCAATAAACGTTCTCTTATGTAACTTTTTAAAGCATATTCTCCTTGTAATAAACTGTGTTTTCCTCCTTTTGTTGACTTTAAAGACTCATAGCTAAAATTTAGTCTCATTTTAACAACTGCCCAGGATTAAATTTTATGCATACTTATATTCTTATGCATTACATCATATTTTTTCTGCCCTTGTTTTTACTCTTCTTGATTTTTTGATATTTTATTTTCAATGCTATTGAACTCCGTGACTTGTCTCAATTATTTTTGGGCTTTGTAACTGAAGGGGAAAACAAGGCAGAGAATAAGCAAATGAATTACCCTAAGAGTTAAAAGCTTTAAGGGCAAAGAACATACTACAAAGGATATGACCATTTATGATCAGCATAAATATAAAACTAAGGCAAAGTTCTCGAGTCAGAATTAAGAACTTTGGAGTTAGTTTGTTCTTCATACGCTGAGCATCTCTTATTTATCTCAAACTCTCAAGGGTAACAGTCATCCAATAGATATATACTGGATTTCCTTAATCACCAAACACTTTGTTTACTAGGAATTTTGAAATCAGCTTCAGAGGGAGGTAGGGAGCACGGGACGAGGTGGGCTGGGATAGGAGAAATAGAAAAATATACTTGAAAAATAATTTTTAAAAAATTTAAAAATTAAAAAAAGAAATCAACATCAAATACCATATATTAATCCAAAACAGCCTTTCCTGCTAAAAAATTACAGTTTCTAAGTATAACAACTGTGTTAATATGCTAATATAATTCACTTGCCTGCAATGATTATTAAGTAAGAAAGAGCCAGTTTTAGAAATTAGTCTTTGGCTTGCATATTATTTCAGTGATTATCTTCTGGAAGGAAAATATTTAAATGTATAAATTTCCTTAAGTAATAAAAACCATAGCACAAATATATTAATCTAACTTCTCAGTCTGGATCATTCTCTAAAATTCACTACCAGATGATTTCAAAAAATTAAATATAAACTTTTAAAATAGTTGTCTTTATTCTTCATTCCCTTATCCATCTGCCCTATTATTAGTATGTATGGTCAATTCTCCCTCTGAAATTCTTATACTATTCATGACCATGATCATCACTTTTCTGAATAACAAAAGCCAAACATCTACTATTGTGCTTCCTCAGGCTTGCCTCCATGCAATCCATTCTGTGCACAGAATCCATATATGCAGAATTAATTATAAAGCCATATATAGCATTCTACTGCTCTCTGGGTAATGTCATTTCCTCTAGGCTAGGCACTTCTATGTGTGCACTAAGAACACTGTATTGCATGTAATTGTTTTAATTGTCTTTCTTCTATTAGATTAGAAAAACTCATGAGGGCAGGGACCGTACCTTCTTCTCTCAACATCACTTAGCCTCATGCCTGAAACTCACCCAATATATATTTTTGAACAAATACAGTCAGCTCACTTATAATGTGGCTATAAAGATTATCTGTGGCAAAGATTTGGAAAATAAAATATAACTAGGCAAAATGCAAGGTAAAAATGGAGGGGAGCTCATTAAAGTAAGTGGAAAAAATAAACTTTGAAGATTTAAAAATAGTATTTCAAAATATAATTTGCTTATATATAAGAAAGAAAAATATTTGTTAGTCAAAATAATAAATGTATTAATGCATACAGTGTATTATTCTGTATTAAATCAATAGATAATATTTTTTAAAAATTTGTTAAAGACCCTCACCAAGTATATATCCTCCAATCTGTGTAGTTTGTTGCTGATTAAACCAGTGAATATAAATGAAAGGAAGATTTATCTTGTTCTCCTAAATCAGAAAAATACTAGCAATTCTGGCTAAATGTAGTAGATTGGACACATGTATGCATTGCTGTTTCCTTGCCCAAACCTGAGTAAAGTGATAGTAAATGGATTTTTAAATGTATAATACAATAAGGACAAAGAGAATCAGAAGAGTAATGGCCTCAGATTTTCAGACAGTGGAAAGCTGATGTACACATGGCACCTAACTTCATGAAAGGGTGCCTGACCACCTGTAGAGGTCCTATTAGTAAAAAGCAGGCTGGTTCACATGAAGAATAGGAGACAGCTCAGGTGTTGGGGTTAGCAGGTGCTTTCTCTCAAAGGTGGAATTTAAGGGTAGTGGTAAAAACAAGAGTATTGGTTGTACTTCCCTCCACACCACAATATCAGGATCCTCTCCTCTCCCAAAACATGCAAGAGAAGAATGATTCATTCTAAAAGGAAATGGACTAAAGGTTTGTGACCTAAACAACATTAGGCACAGCAGAGGGCAAGAATAAGATAGCATTCTAAAAACAAAAACCAAGTGAAAGTCTACAGTTTGAACAGTGGGTGAGACCTTTGTCCTATTACCTTTCTTACCTTCTAGAAAGTATCTTCCAAGCATAACCCTCACAAGAGATCCGAGATATGGAACACCCCATCGAAACTTAACCTAAAAGAAAAATGACTTATTGACACTAGTAGTCAACAATTCTTCACAGAAGGAGAAGGAGGAGAGGAGGGGGAGGGCTGGAAGAGGGAGGGTAAAGAAGATGAAGAAATAGTTTACCTCCTACTGCATGCTTAGAGATGCCAGAGATTTGCCCTCCAATAAATAAACTTTTCAGTAAAGTTCCTATCACCAAAGGAAAACAGTTAGAAAAATGGGTAGAAAACAGAGACAAGGCATAAAAAAGAACAAATCTCAGAAAAAATATAATAGCTGCAAAAAGATGTTGTAAAGAAGATAATGCTCTTCAGAAAAAGGAAAGATTAATCAGAGAACACAAGGAAACTCATGCAAGTTAAAAAATAATTTAGATCAGTAAGTAAAAGGAGAAGCCAAAAGGGAAAATAAAGTGTTTGAAAGAGAGAGAGAGACAGTTAGTCAGTGGAGGTGATTTATCATAAAAAGTCCCAGAAAAAGGGAACAAAGCAAACGAGTGGACTAGGAGGAGCCACTGGCAATTCAGCGAGTTTGCACACATATACCCGAAGGCACATTGACTAATTTCAGAGCCAGGGACAAAATAAAAGAGGAAAGAGGACTATAAAGAAGAAAAAGGGTCCAAGCAGTTGAATTTCTCAATAGCAGAGCAAATCCTTAAAATGTTTGAGAGGAAACAATGGTCAACCTATAATTCTAAATCTGAACAAACTGTAAAGTGAATGTGTGATTACATTAAAAACTGTTTAAGAAGTAAAAATGTTCAAATTTCTTTTTCTGTATCTTTTCTCAGAAAGCTAAGAGAAGATGTACACCACTTAAGGGAATAAACTCCCTAAAGTTTATTTCCCAGGGATTCCCACATGGGAAATGGTACACAAAATTCCAAGGATAATATGAAAGGAAGTCCAAGGGTGACAGTTGTGAGGCAGGATGCTGAAATAACAGATTCCTTCTCTATACTGATAGAAATTTTATAGTGCTGTGAAAGAAAATGAAAATAATTAATAATTTGAACATACAAAATTAAATTTAAGAGGGGGAGGGAAATTATTAACAAATTCAAGAAAAATTTAAAGCCAGAAATGAGAGAAATGGAATACATTACTTGACTCAGCTGTGATCATAGATTACTTAATTATAAGAAATGCAAACACCAAGTTTACTTGAATAAAATATTATATTTCTACCATGATTATGGAATGAGAAAAAATATGAATGGGGCAGGGATGTGATCAGTGCTAAATCCTCAATCTGCATTTTACAAGATAATAATATCTAAAATTGTTTAATCAAAAAGAAAAAGGATAAGCAAACAATTTAAACATATGGAAGTAAATGTCAGCAGAGCAGCTGAAAGAGATGAAGGTTTCTGTGGGACGGTATTTGGGGATAAATTAGATAAAGAGATGACCAAGATTTTCAATAAATCTTTATAGTCCTATTTGACATTTGAAATTATGTTCACAAATTACTAAAATACAAGTTGGAAGAAAAAAAAAAGCAAATCATCTATACTTTTTTAAGCTCATTCAGCCCTTAGGGGCAGGTTTTGTTTATATAGAAATTTCAATCTCCTGAGCTCCACCCATGCTTGCCCTCATGTAGGTTTCTTTAATTTTTCTTAGGGAGTTTTTTGTCTCCAATGAAGGCTGAATAACAAAAGAAAGCCTATTTTTACCCTTCCTGAAAGGGTAACTTTTAAAAACCAAACTTAGGGTTAACCACAAAAGCAGTAAAATAAGTACTTAAATTTTGTGCATATCAAATTATATACCTTCTAAATTTTTACCCAGTGGTTTATCTAGTTACAAATACCAGAGTTAATTCCCTATATTCCAAGTTTCTTTTCTTTTCTTTTCTTTTCTTTTATTTATTTATTTATTTTATAATTAATTTTATTTAGTTATTTTTCAAGTACAGTTTTTTGTCTATTTTTCCCATCCCAGCCAAGTTTATTTTCTAAATAAGAAAAATTTTGATAAATTATAGTAAGAGTTTTTTTCCTGAATCTATCAACCTACACTTTGTGCTCCACTGAGGAGGTGAGGGTGGGGCGAGATTCTGCCACCAGTCAGGCCAACAGGAACTAGTGCTATTTCTCTTCTTTAGCCTACCCAGAGAGGCCCCTTTTGGCAAGTGAACCAAGCAGAGGATGCACCTTTTGTCTAATTCACAGAATATACTGCATATTCTAACTGCATGTCTGATTTACTATCTTTCTTTAAAAGGCTCCACTTTAATCTTTTACTCAGTTTATACTGGACAAAACTATAACACCATAAGCCACTGTTCATGTGGTCATTTTCAACACTTACAGATTGATGTCACTGTAACAAATGTCTGATTACTTACCAGGAATGTGTTTCCACAGTGTCCACACACAACCCTTGTACCTTCTGGCTGGATTGGCAATGCAGGTTGAGCTGGTTGTTCTTCAGAAATAAGCATTACTGGGCCAAGGTTAATTATACGTCTACTGTAGAAAGAGAAAGGAAACAACTTCATTATCCCACCAATGGGGTGGGAAAAACTTGTGATGTATGGCCTAAAACACAGAATATAGCATTGAAAATAGGTTATAGAAATTGTTTTAAAAAGTAGATGAATTAAGCATTTGGCTTTGGAGCCAAAATCACAGAAAGCAGCAATAGTTAATATTAAAAAAAACAAAAACAAAACAAAAAAACAATTTAGGAATCATTTAACTGCCATTTGCAAGTTCTTATAAGTTCAAATCAGAAAATAGTTCTTGTTTCCTATCTAGGAAGACAACTTGAGCTTGGTAGAAGACTCGATAAAATAAAATATTGTACGTCAACCAATAGTGTGTGCTATGAAGGTATCAATATGCTGAGTCACAGCCACATTTCCTGGAGCAGGCTGGTATTCCTTGATGTCTACTTAGTCACATTTGAACAGAAAGGGAAGTGGAGGAGCTCCTTTTCTCTCAGGCAAATGGTTTATGAACTGGTCCAAAAGGCAGAAACCACAAGGAAAAAAAAAGGGTCTTGGTATTCTACAATCTGGGCATATCCATGGTGGCATTTGGCATGGGCATATAACTCCAGAGTTTATTGTACAGATTATGTTCATTAAAAATTAGTGCAGCACATGGCAGATACACAATGATGATTAAAACAGAAAACTTCTAAGTTAAGATGAACTATGTCAAAGGCAAACTAGTTATTTTAAAATGTTTAATAACTAATTGATTTATTATAGTGCATTATGTATATAATATCAAGAAAACTTCTCTTGCTCATTCAGAAATATTATATCTTACAAATACCTGTGACATTAATTTCAAACTGAGCATACAATTCCTTTAACAAAGAAAAATAGATTCTATAATTACTATGAGGACAAAAACCCTGTTTAGAATAATGCCTGGCACATATAAGCCTTTAATAAATACTTGTTGAATGAAATGAATAAGTGAATGAACAAATGGAGTCTTCGTCTCTTACCAGTTAGGTCTTGGACAGCCTATTCGCTGAGATGTGTCCTTACAAATGAGGAGACAATTACAAGGGCATCTGACATATTTCTTCCCTGTTGGGGGATATTTGATTGGCTACATAAGGGAAGAAAATGCAAACACAGCAAAATTAACCAAAGTACAGATTCCCAAAGTTTGTTTGTGTATAATAAAAGCAATAATTCCTTCACAACTAAGGTCATGCTACCTCAGCACAGTTTAAGGAAAAGTGTATCATAAGTGCTTTTAAATAGCTCAAATGTTGGTAAGCACTCTGGGAGATTTGGGGGCTGTAGAGATATTTCAAAATCATTTTGTATGGGACTTTTAATATGGGAAAAATATTTAGAGCACACCAAGAGTTGTTTTCCATTTGAAGTTCATACGACAGGATCATCTATCTGGCCAGATGCAAACATTCACTGGGGGCTTGTGTACCTGTCTGGGAAATGCAGGCTTTGTAAGAATAGTGGACAAAGAGAAGTATATGAAAAATTTGAACTTTTCCAAAATTTTCCTCACTAGAATATCAGAAGTAATTAATTGTATAACATCTTCTAACTTAAAAAAAGCATTTCTTTTTTTTTCCTTTAATTTTACAATCAATTTTAAAGCCAGAATGAATAACACCAAAGAAAACACTTCCTTCAATACTAGGTCTTAAACTTATTAAAGTAAATTTCTATGATGGACTGAGAGGAACATAACCTCATTCCTGTGGCATGCCTGTCAAAAATGTATAATCTGAATGTAATCTTGAGAAAACATCAGATAAACCCAAATTTAGGAACATTTTACAAAAATATCTTCCATGTACTCTTGAAAAAATGTCAAGGTAATAAAGGGCAAAGATATAACTTAAATTTCAGATAAAGAAAGGTTAAAAAACATGATAACCAAATACAACACGTAATTCTAGATTGATTTCTAGATCAGATTTTTAATTTTAATAGAATATTGGACAAACATGAATTAGATCAAAATATTACACAACAGATTATATCAATGCTAATTTCTTGCATTTGATACTTTTCCTGTAATTGTGTAAGTGGATATATTATTTTTAAATAAAATCACACTAAAATGTTTAGGGGTAGATGAGCAACATGTCTGCAATTATCTTAAAAGATTATGAAAAAAAGATTATTCAGAGAGAGAAAGCTAATGTAGCAAAATGTTAATATTTGAGGATTGTGCATGAAGAGCCTTTGGGAATTCTCTGTACCATTTATTATTATTTTTACAACTTTTCTGTAAGTCTAAAACTTACTTTTAAAAGATTTTTAAAAATTTAAGTTCATAATCTTGGTAGAAATATGTAAAAGTTAGGAATAAGCCACCTATAATTTATTAAGCCATAATATAGAGAAAATAAATCTGAATATCTAAAATTAATAAACATCTAGAATGTATTACTATACTATCTAAAATATCCAGAAAACCAGAATTTGGCTTAATTTTTATATCATCAAATTTTGCTGTTCAGTAAGCATGTGCTTGGCAAATGAAAAGATTTTCTATTTTATTCCCATTACACTTCTAGACCTCAGTTCCTCATCTTGTAAACAAGGTGACTGAGCGAGAAAATTTTAAGTAACAGCTTCAGTGCCAGACATAGCCCAGGCCATGTCGCATCTGGTATGCAGTGAAAGGTAGGAAATGACTTTGTCTTTATGCAGAAGTCTTAATATTCTTACTTGGCAAAGTAAACTTGAATGTTCTAAGCATTATGCTGGGTACTTTACCCCTAACAGCAACACTGTGAGGCAGGTGTTATTATTATTATACCACTTTTCAAGAGGAAACCAGAATTTAGAGAAGTCCTCAAGCATATATCACTGCTAAGTGGCAGAGTTAAGATTCAAACTCCAGTGTGTTGACCTCTTAATCTGATTCATCATCAGTTCTGTAGCCAACTAGCTCCACTCTTTAGGACTTCTCAAATTTTCCATTCACTTGTCTTAGAAATCACTTCTCCTTTAACTTTACATTTTGTGTTATCTAAAGTTTGCTAAAATTTATCCAGATTCTCTCTCAGACATATCTCTACTTCCCTTTCCAATTTTATCTACTGAAATAAAAAGGACTTCTGTTAGCCTTGTTTTTTGTTTTTGTTGTTGTTCTGTGGATTTTTTTTTTCATCTCCAGAGGAATATCAGGTTCCTCACAGGGGTGGTTGATGTGAGGACAATGAATCACAGTAAAACTGAGCTTTTGTGTTCAACCCTGATTCACTATATGCATTCTTTTCAATCTACAGAGAAGCTCCTAATTGCCTAACACCTCATTAAATTCGTAACATTAAGATCAAATTACACAAACATTAGTAAGTAATGATAAAACACTCCTCAAAGATTTTTTGTCTCTCCTTTATCATGTTACTGATTTCACACATGGCAATCTGATTGAATACTACCCATTTTCTCTGGAATATTTACATTTCTTTATATAACAGGGGTGCATAATGATATGAAAATTTCAGCATAATTTTCTTTATGTCCAAAAGTAATTTATTTGTAGTCAAATTCTCTTGGTCCTGTATGAATTCATCACCTCTAAGTAGTCAGATTGAGGGTGGTGGCTAAATCCACAGTGACTTTTAGATTCCTGTATAAATAACCTAGTCTGTTGTGTTTACTTCCAAGTGCAAGTGTAAAGTTTTAAAATGCCTTTTTTCCTATTCATGAAAAAAATGAAAGTTTGTATAGCTGGAGTGTTGTATATTTGTCTGATATGATTTCAAATTCACCTTTTTATTACTTAAAGGAAGTTGTTTTAATCCATTTATTTAAGGCAAAGATTTTAAAAGGTTGTTTTTAGAAGTCAAGTTATGTCAGGACATCACCACCTGCTCGTTGTTGTGGATAAGCACCCAGCCGGCTCCTCCGGGTGCTGAAGGGCCCAGCTGGGGGCTTATCCACAAGACCAGGTAGAAAAGTAACTATGGCAAGGGGATCTTTAGGCTACATACTGAAGTTCGTGAAAACTGTCGGAGGGTTTCTGTCTGAGCAAGGCACACTTTGCTGAACAGCTCTCCGAAGATCCTGAAACACTCCTGCCCTAGACAAAGCGATTCTTCGATTCTTCGGATGGCTGTGGCTCTCAGCTGTGCACTAGCCCTGAAGTACTAATAATCCCCAAAGTAGGCAGCCTATGAGACAACACCAGAGCCTTAGTTCCCTAGCAGCATAACTTAGCAACAAGGGACTTTGATTTTGGAGCTGGCAGCTGGAAGTCAGGTGAAGCTGGCTCTCTGAGAAATCCTCTGTAACAGGTCCACCTCTGTTAAATTTGGATTTTATTCCTTTTATCTCCCCTTGCGTGGAACAACAGTGTGATTAACCTGCCATTTGTTTGAATTGCAATATTTCTGTACTGGCTTTTAAAGAGGTATTGTCTTGTATTATATATTATTGCCTTATGAGATTATTCTAATTCCTGTGACAAACTTGTAATAAATCAAAGACAGAATCAGTCTCTGAGCATAGTTTGCTGCATCTTCCAAAACAAAAACAAAACAGTAGAGGAACAAAAGAAAATATTAATATCGAATCTAAGGATACCTTTGGTATCTTTTTAAAATTATTATTTATGTCTAACACCTCATACTTGCTTGCCAAGTCTAAAAATAGCACTTAGGAGGTTAATACTAATTAAGTTTAATAAGTGTTCAACTTAAAAAAATAGCTGGTTTTGTTATCACCTACCCATACAAAAAAGTTCTCCAAATAATGTCCTTTATAGGAAACAAGATTTACAATAGAATATATTATTTCATAACTTAAGGTTTTATTTGATCACTTTTATATAAAATATATAAAGCCCAGTATCCATATTTGATGGTTTTTAGAGGTACAATATACTAAGTGATTTCTCAAAGACTTTTTTAAAGAGAAAAAATATATAAAGAACAAATATTAAATTTTATTTAATTGCAGATTTAAAGGAGATTGACATTTAAAAAATAAAGCCTAACCATAAAGGCAGAAATATATTTACTCTAATCAGTATGCACTTCACTAGTTTATTAATTTAATCTATAAAAATTTTACTTAAACTTTAGCTACTCTTTCCAAAGTTCAGTAAACAAAATTTGTCCCTCAAAAAATTTTTAACATTTCACTAAATTAATATCAAGTAAATGTAATAAAACACAAAACTTCTTATAAATAATTTGGCACAGAAGTCAATAATAAATCATAACCAGAAAAAAAACTACTGACATTCCACAGACATAAAATAAATTTAAATAATTTTCCACATAATTACCAAGTTCACATTTGTGGTGTACTTCAGTATATTTTAACTTTAGCGAAAATAAGAATGGGTTTCATGGTGATGTAGATAAACGCTGAAGATAATTATAAATAAATGTCTATGGTCAGTCTCATTTTAGAAAATAAAGAGCCAAATGATATTATATTTAAATTCACCATGATACTTTTGTAATGATGTAAGCTTTAAATTAAATATCTGAGGCATCCTTGTATGTTAAATGTAAGACAGAGACATAAAATAAATGATAAAAATATGCCATATCTGTGTCCACATTTACTTTTAAAGTACATTATTGGTATACTTCCTATTGGTAGGGAGAGATGTCAGACAACAGCTGATGCTTTTATTAATGGAAATCTCACTTACTGTAGCTTCATTGCAAACTGTGCACTTAACCACATGCTGATGAAATTTGCCATCCAAGTTGATGAGTGACTGGCACACACGACAGTTTATCACTGGAATGCCACCGGTATCTGGACTGGCAATGGTGGTGTATGGAGGGGGAAGTTCTGAAAAAAAAAATACCAGTGATTGAGTCACACATATTATGGCTGGTTTGAGCAAACAAACAATAGAAATAAAGTAGGGAACTATAAAAAATATCCCCTGTTCTTTCAGTTGTGTGTTTAAAGCTAGTCAATTTATTGAAATTCCAGAGCAGAAACACACATGGGACTGTCTTGTGAAGTAGAATAGTTCCTAACTCAGATAAAATCCAAGACATTTTACTAAGGTCTACTGCAGTGACCCAGTTCCCATTTACAAACTCATACCCAAACATCCATTGCATTCTTATGTGCAAACCCTCAGCACTTGATTAGAAAAATGATGATATATGCCTGAAAATCGTATGCTAATGATCTAACTACCAAGAAATAAAATAATCAATGAAAGCAAAGTTTTAATTTTATTTTAATATTGCTTTTCCATCCAGTGTGGCCCAGGAGAGTGCATGTTACCACATCAATGGGTAAGTGAAAGCAAAGTTTTTAAATAGCTTATAAATGTGTAGCTATCATGCTGAGTTTATACTACATAAATAGTGTAGCTATCATGCTGAGTTTATACTAGAACCAATGTAATACCTGTTAGCTATGACAAACAAAATAGAGCTTTGGTGTCAGTCAAGGAAAGACAAAAATGAACCTAGAAAAAATAAACTTATCAATATGGAACAAAGCTAATTAGGATGGAACTAGTTAATATTAGGCACAAAACAAAAATAAACTTAATTTTTTGTTTCAAATTTTTACTTAACATCAAAAACCTAAGAATTGCACTAAAGTATAGGTAAAAAATATTATGCCTGGAATGTTGTTTAAATATTCCAAGAAAAAATGAAGAAATAGGTAAAACATGAATTGTAAAATATTGATAACATGATATAATGATAAGGAAAGTCATTTTGTTCTTGGTACTTTTGTACGTGTTTGAAAATTCTCAGAATACAAAGATACACACAGAGAGAGACGCTGTTTTTCGATAGGCCTAAGGTTGACTGGGTAAAAGGTAGAAGCCCAGTTTCAGATTCTCATTTATCTATCTGAAGTGTACATTTGTTAGGAAAATCTGACAAATGATCTATATATACTACTCTATGATGGTACTTCTAAGGGGGACCATCTAACCTCCTGTACATTTCTCAATTGAGAAACCTCAAAAGAGTATTTCAAGGGGCACCCGTGAGACTATAAAATACAATCACAATAGCTAATCATGAAAAAAGATACTTTTGAAACAGATTTTCTACCCACTGGATTGGATTCGGAACTCTGTGGTATTTTAAAATGAGTTAGAGCAGAGCATATTACATATGTTTAAAATTCACATATGACCACCTGGCATCATTGCAGTTTATCATATAAATATTTTTCAGTCTTGCAAAGGATTAGCAACAAATATTATACATTCAAATAATCCATAAGAAGCTGAATTTCTGGGGCAGCCAAGGTTCTGAACTGGCCACTCTAGAATGATGATACATACACATTTCTGGAAGGTTTATATCAGAATACTACTGAACACTGAACTTGAAAAGAAACTATAAAGCCTTAATGGCTCAGGTGGTCGGAGTGTCATCCCATACAACAAAAGATTACACATTGGATTCCTGGTCAGAGCACATACCTAGGTTTGGGGTTCAATCCCTGGTTGGGTGAATAAGGGAGGCAACTAATCAATGTTTCTCTCTCTGTGTCTCTCCCTCTCTCAAGTCAATAAACATATCCTTGGGTGAGGATTAAAAAAAAGAAGCTATAGATGTCTTAAATTTTTAAAAGTAGCTTTAAATCCTTGAAAGAATTTGAGGTTCACTTAGAGTGACCTGTATTGTAATTAGAAGACAAAAGCAGACTAAAGGAACAAGGAAGGAGTCAACACAGATTTGAGCCCTGGTAAAATGCAGAGAAGTTTATCAGATATCAATAAAGAAAGTATTGTCCTGGCTAAAAAATCCATATCTCATGGGACAATCAAGACACACTGCCTGCCTGGTATATAATAATAAATATTATTTTAACAATATTATTAACAATAGCATCATTAATAAAAGTGAGTTTCCTCTCTTGCTTTTCCCTTGTTATAAAGTAGCATGAAGCAGTTTTCTTATAATTCTAGGTCTCTATTTTACATAGTATGATAGAAATTTAAAGACAAGATAATATCATGAAGAATACAAGTGCATTGGAGGTGAGGGAAGGAGGCCACACATTACAACCACACAAAAGGACCCAGGCAAAAGTTTTGCTCAGAAAAAATTTCAGTGGGTGACATTAAGAAGCTTTTGAAGTGCATCAGATCCATCAAAACCCTGTGAATTTTTCCTCTAAAATTTGCACTATGTAATTTTTAAACTCTCAAAAATAAGGCTTTCAATAACAAATATATGCCCAAATCTATTCTTTTGGAAGCTTAGGAAGTGGAGGGAGGGGGAAAGAATACAAAGTGAGTATCATAAATCAAAATGGGGGGATTATAAATTCTGTGAGGCTTGCTTGGGACAGCTCTGCAGTAGTGTCTGGTCTATGACAATGCTCACTAAATATTTATTATATGGAAGAATAAATGAAAGAGTAAATGAATGGGTGAATCTCTGAAATTTATTGAACATATTTCTCTTAAGAAAATAACATTACACATATTACTGCCACTCTCCTTATAGAAGAGCTGGGTCCTAGTAGGGGACTCAGCTTAACTGAAAAAAGAAAAAGAGGTCTTTTCCACATAGAATAATATCTTCCTTAAACCATGCACAGAGAGGGAAGGCAGTCAGGGGACATATGGACTCACCAGAGGAATAGAATACATTCAGGAGATCAATAGAATGACAGATGCTGCCACCTAATTGCTCCAGTAAACAATGCCCTCAGGCCTATCATTTCCGTTTTCTGTCCATTACTTCAGCTCTAAGGTGATTTAAACATACTTCTTGTACTATTGTCCAAGGTAACCTTCACTTATAATTCATTATCTTCTTATAAGGGACTTGAAACTCCAGTAATTTATTTCAGTGAGTAAACCTACAATAACTAGCAACTTAGATTGTTCAGTTGGTCACTTTTTACATTAAAAAGGTCAGCAGATCACCATTATTGTACTATTTTAAATTTCTGCCATTCATAAAATGTCCACTGTAAACTTAGAATGAGGGATCATTAAATATTAAGAGTCAAAAATCTGCATCTTGAAAGTCTCATTACTTGAACAATAGTCATTTTCTTTATGGAGTTTGCCTATATAAATAATATTTCTATTCCATGTGAGCAGTACTGTTTATATCAGCAGTTTTTCATCCTGAAAAAATCTCTCAGATTTTCAGAATTGTACAATGTTATAAATTCAAGCATCTTAGGAATTATATAGTCCAATTCCTTTATTTTATGGAAGAAAAAACGAAAGCCCAGAGATTCTAACTTTCAAATAGTTTTTCAAGCACTTCAGCAAAGGCAAGAGATGACTCCTGTTCCAGAGGCCCCTGCACAGAGCTGCCTCTCTTAATTAATAATTTTACTACAAGGAAGAGATGTAAGGACTAGTGAGGGTTCTGTTGGACCACTTAGACAGACTCAGGTTTGAGTTAAAAGGAATTGGGATGAGAAGAAGAAAGAGTCAGGGGAAATAAAAACTAGAAGAGAGTATGAAAAACTAAAACTCATAAAAGAGACAAGAAGAAAGAATATATATCACAAGGCATACATAAATGCCCTTTCTCAAACACTCAAAAGGACCTTTATTATTCTGTAAACCCACAAGTGATCAAATTACATTTTTCCCATAACAAACATCAACATAATTTATCTATTTGATGGCAAACAACCCTTCCATTTCACAAATTTATCGTGGTGTATTAATCTGTATATCATTTGTTCACCAGACATATCTCCAGCATTTTAAAGTTTGACATTGTTTGGTTGGACTGCTCTGACCTTTATCATCTCAGTTATGTCTTTGCTAATCTCTTCAATGGAACATTTTCCAGTTAATTCATTTATTTCACTAATACACTGTTTTTAAAAAATACTGAATTTATAGGAGTGAAATTGGTTAATAAAATTATATAGTTTTTAGGTATAATGTATTGTGTGCTCACCACCCCAAGTGAAGTCTCCTTCCATCCTCATTTATCCCTCCTTTATTCCCTTCTATCACTCCCTACCCCTCTTTCCCTCTGGTAATCACCATACTGTTGTGCCTATGAGGTGTTTCTTTTTCTTCTTTTTTTTTTTTGCTTAATCCCTTTCACCTTTTTCACCCAGCTCCCCAACGCCCCCACCTCTAATAGCTGTCAGTCTGTTCTCTATATCTGTGAGTCTATTTCTATTTTGATAGTTTATTTTGTTCACTAGTTCCACATGTATATGAAATAATATGGTATTTGTCTTTTTCTGACTGGCTTATTTCACTTACCATAATACTTTCCAGGTCCATCATGCTGTTGCAAAAGGTAAGATTTCCCACTTTTTTATAGCTCAGTAATATTCCTTTATGTAAATACACTCATATTTAGCCCTTCATGCCTTTGATAAATGTATCAAAAATGAAAAATGACATCAGATTAAAATGAGATAACTTTTAGGACACAACGATTATAGGATGGGCAAGAGAAGTATAAAGGACAAGTTTGTGAGGAAAGCTCGTTTTTTTTTTTCTCATCCTCGGGGTGTTTGTGGAGTAGGGGTTAGGGACAGAGTGACAGAGAAAAGGAAGCCCACCTGCTTTCCCCTCCTCTCTGAAACCAAAGAAACAAAACTTTTCCAGGAGACTCAGGTTCTTTTAGAACCAGGGTGCCCTTAGAAGGATCCATCTCGCTAAAGTCAAGTTGGAAGATAAATGTGGTAGTTATTAGGCTACTGATGCTCAACTCCAAACCTACCCTTCTCTGCTTTGTCCTTCTGGGGCTGGAACTCTGAAAACCTCATTTGGCTTTGCCAGCTGGATACACATTATGTCCTATTAATAGGTGACAATAAAGGGAAACCACAAGATTGGAGGAGGAAGAAGGGACTTACAT